GCGCCGGGGAGCCCCCCCGCTCCGCGGCGGCCTCGCGCTGAGGCCTCTTTCCCGCAGCCCCCGGCGCCGTAGCAGGGGGTGGAGGGGCTGTTTCCTTTTACTTCCTTGTGCGCGACCCCCTCGGGGGCCTCTGGGGCCGTGTTTCCTTGGGACGGGTCGTGTCTGAAGCCTCCAGTCCATCTTCCCATGAGACCTGCTGCTGCTTTAGGGGTGACTGAAAAGGGCAGTGAAGTTGCTTAAGTAGTGTCTTTGCGATGTCAGTAGGGCAGAAATGGGGTAGTTTGTTGATGTGACCTTTTACTTCCTTGTGCGCGACCCCCTCGGGGGCCTCTGGGGCCGTGTTTCCTTGGGACGGGTCGTGTCTGAAGCCTCCAGTCCATCTTCCCATGAGACCTGCTGCTGCTTTAGGGGTGACTGAAAAGGGCAGTGAAGTTGCTTAAGTAGTGTCTTTGCGATGTCAGTAGGGCAGAAATGGGGTAGTTTGTTGATGTGACAGGAAAATATTAAAATATTGGATTATTTTTGCAGATATGGAGCAAAAATTCGAGCGCCACATGCCCTGGTCATGACTTTTCTGTTCAGGGAAGGAAGGTATGGATCCTAGCTCTTACTTTCATGTTACTGTTAAGAACATCTTTCATTTTGTAAAGATTGCTTGTCTCCAACAAGCCCAGGTTTAAAAGGCAGGAAGACGTGTGTGCCATGCTCACATCCCGTTGCTTTGGTAACGAAGCACGTTGTCTCATAAATGCAGTTATGCGCACTGTAGAGATCGTCCTTTGGTGAGAGGAGAGAATTATCAGTCTAAATGGACAGGGGGCACGGAAGCTGTCATGTCCAGGTTGGGTGACTGCAGTGGTACTGACTTTTTGCTCTCCTAATTGCCTGTTTCTTTTTTTTTAGTTTAAGAGAGAAACTGAAATCAATTGCCCAGGCCACATACACTCACTCCCGGAACTTGGCTTACTTCGTGTTCACCTACAAGGGGCTAATGGCGTTGCAGTCCCGACTACTGGGGAAAAAAATTCCACTTCACACTTTCTTTGCAGCCTTCATTGGAGGTTGGCTAGTGTTTGGTGAGAACAATGCCATCAATAGCCAGGTAAATATTTTCACTGAAAACTTGTTTTAAAAAAGAAGGAGAAAAAAAAAAAAAAAAAGGAAGACAGTTATGGGCCAGTCAGTATAGCTTGGCACATACCTGGTGGTTCCTCTACATGGCATCTTTCTGGTTTCTCTGTGCATGTGTACAAGAGTTAGTGCTGCTTGGTCTACACTCAGGTCTTGTGCACTTCTGTTAAGGGCTGCCTGCAAGTGCCTTTGAGAGCTAAAAGCCATGAT